TGATTTTATTGAACTGTAATGTCAGTTATCAGAAATGTTCCCAACCTGGGCCATTAGCCTTGAGTCAGATATGGGGGCTCTGGATCTAAGCCTGATTGTAAATTTTAACACTCACAGATAGACTGCATGGTCCATTAGAAAGAACTTAGTCAAAGATGTATATTTAAATTTGGTTCTGCCACTTACATAAAGCTTCCTCTTAGAGATACCCTAAGCAGTGTTTCTCAAACTAAATGGGTATATAAATCACCCGGGGACCTTGTTAAAATGCAGACTGTGATTAAATCGGCCTGAGGGCTGGGGTCCAAGACGCTGCATTTCTATCAAGCACCCATGTATGCTGATGCCGCTGGTCCCTGGATCAACGTTGAGTAGCAAGGCCTGAGGACACTATTGATAGAACGTGTGAAAAGCATGTGTGTTCATGAGAAAACACTCTGTAAATTGTAAAATGACGGAAGTGTCATTTTATATTGATTAGTAATAGTTGGTGATTCCGTTCAATTCATCAAGAAAGAGCCCCAGTACGATAAATTATGTTCCAGATATTCAATTTTTTTCTTTTTAGCAAAATCAAAAACAAAACTGGGAATTGGAAAGGCAACACAAGAAAGATAGTCATTCTAAACAATTTTGTTGTTTTTTGATTGCTTTGAAAAATTAACTTCCATATCACTATCAGAACTAAAATGATGAAAAAGAATGCCCTGTGTTTTAAAAGAAACTTGTACAATTAGACCCAGTCCCAGATTTGCTCTGTAGATTGTCTCATCCTAATCAAAATAGAAATAGTAAATTATAAGGAAAAGGAAGATAGTTGGCTCCAGGAACAACAAGAAGAGATCACTGTGAGGGAAGAAATTTAAAACTAATAAAAGCCAACACAAGAACACAGAAACCGGAGCTATATAAACATCTAGTTTCCCTAAGTAAGACGGTTCTTTTTCATTGGTGTTAGCATTTTCTGGAAGAGTGTACAAAATCTACAAGAACAGTGATCGATTTCTAAAGCATTTCTGTGTCCCTTATCTAAAGTACAATTAACAATTCCTGTTCAAGTTTTGATTTGAAAACTGGCAAGGGAGAGACCAAAGAAAGGCATATCACTTCCAGATTGGTAGGTGGCAAGTTTAATAAGCAGGGAACTTACCTAAGAAGCTTGTTTTAAGGCAGCTGCAAGATGACTGGATCTCCGCACCTACCCGCCAGAATCTTAAAAGTTTATATAGAGGCCTTAAAGAGGTTCAGCCACTTACACTGTCCAGATGGTCTCAGTAACACATTGCTCTCTCAAGGCTGCATCCTTGAAAATGGTTCCCACTGTGTGAACAGTGGGCAGAAAGTACATTCCAAAGACAGGGGATGGGGTAAGCAAACTCTGCCCGGGTCCAGCTCGAAGGCCAACTGGTGGTCAACTCAGTAATCAACTCTGACACCAAGGAAACATACACTCTTTCTGAGATTCTAGTCCCACAACATTTTAGCCAATCTTTCATTATTACATGGTCAATTTACTGTATTATGTGAAGAAGACTTTCATCACATATCAGAAAATGCATAACGGACCCCTCCCATGGAGTAAAAACCCTTCCTGATCTTTTAGATTTTGGACAGAATGACTCCCTGTCATAGATCCAGATCACCAACAAATTACAAGCAATAGCTTGCTTGCTCCCATGATGGATCTTTTTACAATGGTTCTGGCAGCACTCTGATTATAGAGTTAGAACTCGGCTTCAAAGATGCCAGAAATTCATCAGACCTCACCTGAATTTGATACTTTGTCTCCCTGCTTCCATCCCTGTTTATCCTCTCTCAACTGTTTGTGGTGACAGGACACATTATTCATAAACCAAAATGCCAGGATATTGTTAAGCAAACATGTATGAATGAAAACTTAGCTTGGTGTCATCAGAGATAGGAAGAAAAGACAAATGAGACCGAAATCCGAATAACTGTCAGTGTGTTACAACACTACCATTCCTTTGAAAAATAAAGTGAAAGTAAAACTACTAATACCGATTACTAATTTAATTCCTTAGGCCAGTCAATACCAAATCATGAGGCCATTTCAATGCAAAACAGCCACTGAGAAATTTGGTTATGAAAGCAATCAAGATGCAGACACTTGAGAAACATTTAAAGATGCCAGAACTGCACACCTGGTGGGGAATATCACACACCTGCAGATTGTTCTTTGCACTAGCTCTGGGTGATCCAGATCAGCTGCCCCAGGTGGATGGCTTCATAATTAGACAGCTCTTCTCTCTCCAGTTGCTCCACCTAAGAAAACCTGAAGCTTTGAGGATGACCGAGCAGCCGTTCCCTTCTACAGAAAAACACTTGTGTGGTACATCAGGAGTGGTTTTAAATGGTGGAGATAATTACTTAATTCAAGCTGTAGCAACTGGCCAAGTAAACAAGCAGCAGCCAGGAAGCTATTAGCATGATTTTAAGGCAATTATTCCATTAGTGTTTAATAGTCTCCAATTAGTCTTCCCTGACTATCGAAGTTTGAACGTCTTTTTTCCTCCAAAAATTCTCACAAGTTGAGTAATGCGGAAAGGTATCAAGCCCATTTTTAAACCTGGATTTATATGTGCGGATCTGCCAAATGTACATTACAGAATCATGGAGAAATTCAGGCGTGTAGATTGGTGAAATAGGGGTTTATTTTTTCTCAGAAGTATTGAGGGTGAGAATGGAAGGCTTTGCAGGGGATCCACTTTGAGTATAAAACTAAGAGGAGTTGGGAAAGCAGTGGAAATTCCCACTGCATCCAATGCCATCATCAGTATGTCTCTGCTGTAGGACTATCAGAATATCAAAGCCTCTGACCTCAGGTTTTCACTTTGTCCTGTGGAAAGAAAATTCATCCTGTTCCTGCTAATGCCTATTCCCTTGTCCTCTCACCCTGATTAGTACTTGTTGTTGCTGAATCATCCAGATACAAACCCCAAAGCATTTCCCTCCAAAATTCCTAGGAGATTTTTTCCTAAGGACCATTTTAAGGGTTATATCACTGAACTGATTGTAGGTCATTTCCCTTCACTGAGGTGCAATTTTCACATCTGTGAAATGGAGTTAATACTTATCAGCATCGACTGCTTCACAAGGTTTGGGGAAGGATTATGTGATCTGGGTTACATACTAGGGCTTTGAAAAGTGAAGTATTATAAAAAAGTAAGTTAGGTTCAGACATAGTATCATACCATCCCTCAGAACTTGCAGTGTGAACTTGCGCTTTTAACCTCCCTGTGTCTCTGGAAAGTCACCTATCAGGAGGCTGGCAACAGAGTCCTTGCCCTTCTTACCTTTTATGTGAACACAAATTCTCAGGTGAGACCATGTAAAAGTAACCTTCTAAAAACCAAAAAATAAAAAGGAAGGAAGGAAAGAAGATAGGAATGCCTGTGGAAGTGAGAGTGGAATTTTCCCAACAAAGTTCTGTGCTTTCTATGGTCTCCTTCAAAAGAGCGATCCCCAGGCTCACCCAGGGAGCAGGGTAAGTGCAGAGTGGAGAAGCTGTCTTGTTCTTGTCCTTGGAGACACCTGGGCTCTTGGGAAACTACCTCTTGAAGAAGGACAAAAGTAGATGAACCCTCCCCTTCCAGGGTTGGCTCTCAGAGTGTAGCCTGTGCCTATAATAACCACCAAACATCCACTTGATGAACGACCATTGATTTGAGTTACTGATCAATTCCAGGGCTACTGGTTAGAGACTCTTGGGATTTTCAAGAAAACCCATCTTTTCCTCTTTTTTTTTTTAAGTATGATTTCCCCCAGTGGCTGAGAGGGGGCGCCGGATAGGGCAGATCTAGAGAAGGCAGGCCAGAAGGTTGAACCTGATAACACGGCACAGCTTGGGGCAGGGTATTTTGCCCTCTAAGCTGAGTCCTGGAAGGGTCAGGCACCTGCACCCTCAGCCCAAGCGAAAAGTCAACGAAGTATGGCTGTGTCCCCAGCTGCCACCGTGGTACACCGTCCTGAAACGACCCTCCCTCCTGCACATCCGAACTAGGGTCTGCTGCGCTGCCGTCCCAAAAACCTGCCTCGTCCTCTGGTCCCAGTCGTGCGCGCTATGCTGAAGCCTCTGGATGCCTCCAGTCTCTTCCTCGCTTTGCCCAGGCTTCCGTCCTGCTAGCCTGTCCGGACACCGCCGCAATCATCTTTTCCCTAAGATTTGCCTATTAATCCCACCCCTCCACCGCAGCTCACGCAGGTTCCCCTGCCCAGCTTCTGTCCCGAACAACAAATGCACGGTCCACGAGGGTTTGCTTTCCTGACCCGCGCGCTGTAGGCTGCTAACAGCCCTTGGACCAAAATCCAGACGGCGGCCACCCGGCCAGGCCCTCTATGTCCACGCAGATCAGGAAACTGCTCCCTCCTCTCCTCTCCCCCTTCAGCTCCCGGTCAAGGGCAGCGATCACGCCGCCGCCGCGGGTCCCTGAACTTTCATCACTCTTCGGGAAGCGCTTTGTCTCTTTAAAGGAGACTAGGGACGAATATTAATGACTCGGGTAAGGTTCTAACAGAGAAATCCACCAGATCCGCTTGATTCCGTGACAGGGATGGAGTGGGAGGTCCACGGGCCGGAGCCGAGCCCTTAGGACAGCAGCTCACTCTCGCCGGTCACTATCACCCCACAGCCCCAGAAATCGCCCCCAGCCCCAAGTCTTCGGGGAAAACGTGGCAGGGGGGCACGAGGGGCCGTCCTGGAGCCAAGCCTTTCCCCTGCCCCAGCCCTCTCACACAACCTGCTTCAAAAACCCATGGGAAATCAGTCACCTTGACTCCCCGCGCCGCGGTCCCCAGACGTTTGGAAAACGCCAGGAGCCCGGAGGCTCCCAGGTACGCACTCTCCTGGCCGAGACCCACCCCTGGAGACGAGTTTCCCTCCCGCGGGCATCGTGGCAAGTTACCACTTCGTGGCAGATAAAGCAGGGCGGGGCAGGTGGAGCGGACGCCGAGCGCCCCGTCGGCAGCCTCAGCGCGCCTACCTGGGATGGCTAAATTGGTGAGGGGGATGCTGTGGATGCTCTCGGGCAGAGTGGCCATCCAGTCGGCGAATTTCAGCTCGTTCTTCCCTTGAGACGAGGCCATCGTGCGGTCGCTGTGCCGCGCGCTGGTCCTCACGCTCCTCGGGCAGGCTGGCAGGCTGCTGCCGCTAATCGAATGTTTGCTCCAGCCCCGCTAGAGTTTACACTCCGCTGCGCGCCACACCCACAGGATGGCGCAGACACATGCTAATTTTAATAATTATTCAAAACACCCCATGCTCCCTTAGTGCCTCCGCCAGACTCCGCTGGAGCTTTTGTTCCTGACGTCCGCGCTCAGCTTTCTCCTCTCTCCCCGCCCTCCCCGACTCCCTCCTCCTGTCTTATCCCTCCTATGCGTCTCTGTCTTTTCTCGCCATTTCTGCAGCGTTCCTTGGCTTCTTACTGTATATTTTTTTCCTTTTTCTTTTTTTAACTTGGGTCACACAGCTGCTTTGCCCATGACCTTGCTCGGTCCTCTGATGAGACTTCCTAGCCCTGCTTGTATAAAAGACAATCTTGTGGCTGACCCTAAAATCCTAGTAGACTTTGGGATGCTATCACCTCCTGGGGAGCTGACTCTCATACTGGCTTTCAGGACTTTCCATTCTTACAGAAGAGCTTTTCTTTTTGTAAGCTACAACAGGTTATTTTCTTTCCTCAGTCGGGACCTAGAGCCCTGCTTATAACAAAATGGTGGTCTTTCTTCACCACTTTGCCTCATTTTTGGAGAAGTTGACAAGTGTGCTGTCAGCAAAGAACAGTAAGTTCCAGGTGGTTCCTACTTAATCCCTGGCACCCTGTTCTAGACATTTCAAGGTAAGGAAGCACATCAACCCCTTCATTTCCCTGATTATGAGAACTGTATGCTATATCTATGGAGAAAGCTGTTTATGTCCTCTCTGTGTCATTTTCGTGGCACCCAGGACAAGGCTGAAGCCTGATGCCAGAAGAAAATCACCACATTTCCCAGTGACATGTTGTAATTATTGCCAGTAGCATTTGGTGGAATTTACTTGGCAGCATTCAAAATGATCTATGTGATTGTCTGAATTTTCATTCCTTGGCAGACTAGAGAGGTGTGCCTCTCTCAAGAGAAATCACTTGTCGAGCCTCCAAAGAACTGTCTTGGTCCACCTGCTCTCAGATGAGAAAGAGGAGAAAAATCAAATCTCACAAATGTGATGAGTCCAGGGATGGCCTGAATAGGAATGATAAGCAACGGACTGAAAATGTGCAGGGTCTTTGCAGCCCAGTGAATGTAGATGCAATAAAGGTGCCTCTGTTCTTTGCGCCAGTGATGTAAAATCCTTTTCCTAAAGTAAATGCTGTTAAGTTGGGAAAATGAAACCCAAGGTAGGAGAGAGAGCTGTAAAATATGGGGATTTTTTTTTCAATTCAGTAAACCATATAGCATTTTTTAAAAACAACCACAGCTAAAGCCTGCTTATTGTACAAGGATGCAGAACTCAAAGAATATTCACTCCAAATAGGGAGCACTGTGGGAAAGGTGGAGAGAGGAGAGAGAATACCTTATCCATGTGATCAAATTTTCTGTTCTCCCATAGAATCAATTCATAATTGCAAAAGAACATGGTAGGGTTATATTTAAGAATGAGAAAGGATGTACTGGGATTTTTTTTCCCAAGGTAAATCTTAATATTCCTGTTAGCACAGTAGAACTCACATATCCTTTTTTTTTTTTTTGTAGTACGCGGGCCTCTCACTGCCGTGGCCTCTCCCGTTGCGGAGCACAGGCTCCGGACGCGCAGGCCCAGCGGCCACGGCTCACAGGCCCAGCTGCTCCGCGGCACGCGGGATCCTCCCGGACCGGGGCACGAACCCGTATCCACTGCATCGGCAGGCGGACTCCCAACCACTGCGCCACCAGGGAAGCCCCACATATCCTTTTGATTAGGGTGAGAATTCAGCTCACTATAGGATTGTTGGTCAAGAGACCTACAAACCACCCTCTGGCTAATGCTGGTGCTCTGTGGGCATCATTGCAGGGCAATGAGGAGAGCTCAGATCTGGGAATTGGCTGCTCTGTCTCTGAGTCATTTAGGCAAGTCTTCTAGTCTCTGTCAGCCCTGGTTGTCTCCATCTTAAAATGGTGAGAGTAACTCAGAGATTTGTGGTGAAGCTTCCGGAAAAGAGTGTAATGAAAGAGCTTTGTTATCAGCACAGCATCAGACAAAATGTGAGACCTATGTTTATTAAGATAACAATGTGTATTATCTCTCTTTGTCACTTCTATCTTTATAAAATATTCATTTTCAAGAGGATGAAATAATTATTGAATCTTGGGATTTTGTTTTTTAGTAAGATGCACTTTAAAAACATGCCCTGTTCAATTGTGTTGAACCTATGTGTCCCTGAAAGTTTACAAAGCATTTTTAAAAAATGAAACCACCTTAAATGTTGAGGAAATATGCCTCTCTAAAGAATAGTACACTTTATCTTTTGGTAAAGCAAACAAACAATCCCTCCCCTGTTTTATCTGCTTTGAACTTCAGATTTTTTACTGTATTGGTTTTTCATGAAACTTTACATTTCTCTGCATGCGAGCCACTAAAAAGGACGGTGCTGAAAGTGGATAGTTTATGAATTTCTTTCCCAGAATTATAATCAATATTTTAGGCAATTTATGACCCGGTTTCCCCATCTTTCTATTATAGCTTGGTCACCATTTACTAAATGATATTAGAAAAATCATATAATTTCTCTGGGCTTTAGTTTGCCCACTGTATTAGTCAGGGTTTCCCAGAGACACAGAAATATGGATATAAATATAGACATATAGAGAGATTTATTTTAAGAAATTGGCTCATATAATCATGAGAGCAGGCAAATCTGAAAGGCAGGCCAGCAGGCTGGGAACCCAGGTAGGATTTCTGTGTTGCAGCCTTGAAACAAAATTCTTCTTCGGGAAACCTCAGTCTCTGCTCTTAAGACCTTCAACTGATTGGATGAGACCCACCCACATTATAGAAAGTAATATCTGCTTTATTCAAAGTCACATAATTACATATGCTAATCACATCCACAAACACCCTCACAGCAACATCTAGACTAGTGTTTGACAAAACTATTGGGTATCATAGCCTAGCCAAGTTGACACATAAAATTAACCATCACACTATTATTCTACCTTTCTGTTTCCTTTATGATTATTTCTTAACATATAGCTGCTGGCAATAGCAGGAGGAGGAATGAAAATATTTAGTTGTTTTACTCTATTCAGAGAATTCAAGGTATGGATCAACATTTTTATCATTACAACAGAGATGAAAAAATACTAATGATTTTTAATTGTGCTGTTGAGAAAAACTTAAAAAAACTTATCCTTAAAAAAAATTTTAAGCATAAATGGAAAGAGGAGAAGGACTTATTGCAGTGGTTTCCTGCTCCTATTAAAACTTACTCATGTAATCCTCAGCTCTCGATGAAAACGACACTATACACAGTTTATAAACATTCTACTCATTTGGAACATTTCCTTACTTCATATCCTCCTCCACTCAAAAATACATGGCTCTTTACTACATGTTTTCTTTCATTAGTTCATAATATTTCTCAATTGTTGGAGATATATACTTTTATTTTTTATATATTTTTTATTTTTTCAATTAAATTGATGTTGAATTATGTTCCGAAAAACAAGGATTCTTATATTATAGCTCAGAAAACTTTAGAACACATTTCAGCTGAATAATATTTTTAAAGAGGAGCTCTGTTTAAAACAACTCAGCCAAATCATTAAAAAACATGGTGTTCATAAATATGTATTATAGTCAAACTTAAAGAAAACGCATACAAAAGGGGAATAAAGAATCTTTGTAAAAACTAACTACTAATAATCAATGCTTTCTGATCATTCTCTGCAACCTCTACCCAGATCTTACATCGTAAGATGGAATTATTGTATTTTAAGCATATAAAAATGCTTTTTACACTTAAATTCAAAGTAGAAAAAAGTGACAACTTCCACTTCCCTCCACCATTTTAACCCTGCAGAGTTTTTGGTTGTACCCCTCTCTCTTCCTCTACATCTACATCTTATATACAAGTCCAAACTAAGCTAATTAATACTCACTAAATACAATCTAGTGGTCGGAATCATAAGCTATGGAATCTGAAGGCCTGGATTCAAATTCAGGTTTCCCCAGTTAACTATTATGTGTTTTTTGATTTCCTTAACTGAAGCATGAAGAATGATTATTCCCTCCTGAGGGTTAGGAAAACCGAAGGTGCTATGAAGCTTAAGTCAAGTGAGACTTTAAAGTTTATTGAACAGAATGGAAGCTCTATAAACTATAGTTCATCCTTATGCTTCTTGCAACCACCATGCCTTGCTCATGCTATTAACTCCACATGGAATATACTTTCATGCTTTCACCTGTAAAAATCCTTTCCATTCTAATTCATCTTTGCAACTTCTGTCACTATTCATAAGCAGAAGTAATTTTTCCTTTTTCTGAACACCCATTACAGTTTGTTTATAGCTGTCTTGTAGTGTGTTTCTAATTCCCTAGTTAGCCTTAAAGCATTATGTGGACAGTGATGGTGATATTTGATACCCAGTCATGCCTCTCACAGTGCCTAAGACATAATAAGGACTCATTATTATCATTCATTTACTTATTTCATAAGTATTTATTGAGTGTCTATTATGTGCTCTGTCCTAGAGAGGGAAGATAGAGCACAAGTCCCTGAACTCACTGAGTTTATGTTTCAGGCAGAAAGTGGCAAATGATAGCTTAATGTCTGAATAAATAAATGACTTGGCTGTATCTCTCACCTCAATGTCAAAAGCCCTCCTTTAGCATGCTTGATTTTTAGTACTTCACTATGTAGCAAACAACTTATAACTTAATTTTGAAAATATATTTTGAAAGAAAAATTGTTTTAGAATTGTTTTGCCTGTCTATACTGGCTCTTCTAATTCTTTCCATCCTATTGCTATTTTGGTAAAGTCAGTGATCACACTTGGAAATAACATGGTGTACTCTTCCAGATTTCCAGAGGTCATCACTAGCAAACTGTTTGATTTCTCAGAGCATGAGGATTCCTGTGGGTGGAGGTTAGCCAGGGAAGGAAGAAGGAAAATGTTTTAGGTTTACTTGTAGAATCAGAAAAATCCTGGAACTATTCTACTTCTCATTGCTAAAAAAATTATGACCAGGG